AAGCAAAGAACTTTCTGGATCAGGAGAGCTGATGTATGCATGCATGCGTATATGTGCGGTCCCCAAGCCAGCATGTGGCTCTCAGCAGAGAAAAACTTGTACTCCCTTGGCTGAGACTGATGAATTGCAGCAGAACTGAGAATTTCATAGGAGGCATGAACAAAGGAATGTCAGGGATAATCTCATTCTTAGAAGACCTCTAGCATGGCAGATAATCCATTTTGGACTATTTTCCATTCCTTTCTCCATCTACACATCCCAGGGCATCGGAGGTTGGTGTCTGGCTCCTCTTCGGAGTCCCTCAGCACCTAGTTGCACCTAGTAGCAACTGGTAAACTAGTGTCTATGACCACCACAGCACTGTTGTGGAATCTGGTCCACTCAAGAGGCCTGTCTCTGCACAGATCAAACTGCATCAGATGGCTTACTCCAATGGAGGAAATAAGAACTCAAAGTTCATCAGCTGCAAAGGAGATGTAGGCTCCTGAATGACTTGTTCAAATAAACTATTGACCCGGAGGAACTCGCATACCCCAAAACTGCCCTGCCATTGTATGAGTCTCCTTCATTATTTTTATCAAGAATTCTCCATGCATGCATGCATGCATGCATTTACAAACGGTCTCTACATATTGATCACTCAAGAGCCAACAAGAGTACAACGTATGTACAATCAGAAAAAGGGCCTACAATTCTCAACATAGTCCAACCTGCCCTGCTACACACAGGATTCTAAAGGCACAGCAAATTCTCAAAGTCATAAAAGTGTTCTCCCTTCCACTCTTCTAGTGCAGGGGTGTCCAAACTTTTTGCAAGGAGGGCCAGATTTGGTGAGGTGAAAATGTGTGGGGGCTGACCGTTCAGCCTGACATTCTTTGAACCATTAACATTAAATGCAAATGAACTATTTTATGAAAGGCTAAACAAATAACTGCACTAATGTGAAGGGTGATACTGAGATCTCAACTGCATTATATAGGCCAGGTCTGGCTCAAAAACTGGTTTTGATGCGCAAGATGTCATGCAGGTGAAAGTCACTTAGTCTTGTCCTCATGCGGTTCTTGTTAATGTTCATAACCGAGAATGTCTTCTCGCACAAGTATGTCGAACCAAACAAGCTCAGCATTTTCTTAGCAAGTGTTCGAATCTCTTGGAACCTGTCTTTATCCAGCTGGCAGTAAAAGTTGACAAGAGGGAGCTGTTGGTGCCGACTGCGACACTCGGCATCACACTGCAGCTCAATGAGCTCCAGCCGCAGGTGTTCTGGAGCGTCATCAGGGTCCACAGAGAAAGGAGATGAAAAAAGCATTATCTCCTTTTCAATAGCTGCAAAATCCCAAAAGCGCTGTTGAAACTCCTCAGCCAGAGATGAGATGTCTGCTTCATACCTCCTTATTTGCAAACTCATATTGTTCTGTGGAAAGCTGGTCATTATTTCCTGCAGCGATGGGAAATGTGTGGTATTGGGCTGCGTTTGTGACAGGTGCCTTTGGAAAAGTAGCAGCTTGGTCCCAAAGGCTTTGATATGTGAATACAGTTGGCTTACCACTGCATTTTGCCCCTGAAGGCTCATGTTAAGCACGTTCAGATGTCGTGTTATGTCAACTAAAAATCCAAAATCAGCCAGCCAAACAGGATCAGATAGCTCTGGCATCAGTTGTCCCTTTTTTGCCAAAAATTGTCCGATTTCCTCCCTAAGAGAGTAGAAGCGCTGCAGTGCAGACCCCCAACTGAGCCATCTTACCTCGTTGCGATACACAGCATCTCCGTATTCAGCCTGGATGTCAAGTAGAAACTGTTGAAACTGGCGGTGGCACAGGGCTTTGGAGCGAATATAATTAATAGCCTTCATCACCGGTTTCATAACATGATCATATTTCAGATGTTTGGCACAGAGAACTTGTTGGTGAATAATTCTGTGGAGTTTTATAGCTTTGTCTCCTTCTTCGCTGACTTTGTTACAGACTAGGGTTGATAATCCACTTCGCTCGTCAGCCATGGCAGGTGCGCCATCCGTAATAATCCCAGTGACTTTATTCCACAGTAGTTTCATGTCATCTACGGCGGAACAAACAGAAACAAATCTGTTCCTCTTGTTTGGTCCTTAAGGCTCTGGAGGTCAAGTAGCTCTTCACTCATGTTCATGTCATTGTCGACTCCTCTCAAAAAAATCAATAACTGAGCGGTGTCAGATGCATCCATGCTTTCGTCGTAGGCTAACGAAAAAAAGTCAAACTCCACTCCTTTTGCCTCTGTCTCTTAATATCAGATGAAACATCTTCAGTTCTCTGTACCACTGTGTTACAAGCCAGGCAAACATTGGCAAACTCTTGCTTCTCAGGACAAATTTTCTCCACCATTTTCATCACGCAGTCTTTAATAAATTCACCCTCAGTAAAAGGTTTGCAGTGCTTGGCAATCAGCTTTGCCACCTCGTAGCTCTCGCCTTTGTGGCATTTTCATTTGACTCACAGGCTCTTGTGAAAAAGCGCTGCTGTGCCGTTAAAGCAGCTTCCAGTTCCTTCAATTTTTCGCCGCGTTCGTTCCCAGTTGACTTGTTGTAGTTAGCATGTTTCGTCTGGTAGTGCCTCTTGATATTGAATTCCTTGAAAACAGCCACAGTCTCTTGGCAAATTAGGCAGACGCAGTTGTTTAATATTTCAGTGAAAAAATACTCCAATTTCCACTTGTCCTGGAAGCGGCGGCCCTTGCTGTCAAATTTCCTTTTTTTAGTTACAGTCACCATTTTAGAAATGGGCACACAAGCTTTGTGTCACGCAGCAAGAGTGCTGACTCAGGTCTACTGCCATCTTCTGGTGAAATATAACCACCAGCCTTGAAGGAGCAGGAGGCAGCAGGGGACAGCTGTGGGAACCGCTGTGCGGTGAAGGGAAAAACGCCGGCTGGCAGGGATGAATGACAAGCTGACCTGGCAGGGAGAAGAGGCTGTGGGCCGCTCGAAATTTGAAAACGGGCCACAATTGGCCCCCGGGCCGGACTTTGGACCTGCCTGTTCTAGTGAAAGGGACAGTGTCAATAACTGGTGCTTACACAAGTTAAGTGTTTAGATTAGCACAAGTTTTCCATCTTGTAAAAGTTCTTCGTACTTCATTTTTCACTAGATGATCCTGGCTCTTTTGAAGAAAATGGTAATGCTCCTCTTTGCCCATTCAAAGAGTTCCATTGCTAGTTCGTTCATTTAAACCTGTCCCACCATTCCCAAAGTGACTAACAACATGAATAAACAATCATTTAAACATTAACTAAGTTTAACAACATCCATAAACAGGTAGCTGCTGTAAATTACCAACCAGGAATGAGAAAAGTTGTTTTAAAAATACCATGAAAAGTCAACAAAAGCAGTTTGATGAAAGCAATTAAAACTGTTTCAAAAAGGAAAGAGCCTTCTCTTCATTGGAGAAGAGAATGAGACAAATATCTTTCAAGAGAGAGTTCCACAGCCTCTGAAAAGACCATCTTGCTAGGCATATTTCTGGGAAAGTTGGGACAGGAAGGCCTTGAATGATTTCCTCAGGTGAACAAGTTAATATGGGAGAAGATCTGGTTCCTGATTATAAAAGGCTTTGAGGATTATTGTAGTGGACCTTGAAACAAACTGGAAGCTTGTTTAGTCATTTCTCTTTGTTTTTCCAGTCACATGTTCCCTATTTGTGGACCCTTTTAACAGCTTGACTGTAGCATTCTGAACTGATTTTGAATGCTCTTCAAATGTAGCTCAGATAGAATGTATTGCAGGATTCTAGACTTGGGATAACTAAGCCATGTGTCACCCTGGCCAGAACTTCAAGCTCCAAAACCAGGTGTAGTTGGAGCACCAGGAAAAGCCAAGCCAAGTCACAGTTGACACCTGAACATTGCAAAGTCCATGCCAAGCCAAGTAGAACCTTCTTATTGTTTAAATTTGTGAAATTCATAGCACACCTTTCCTGCAGAATGTTCAAGGCAGTGATCACGGTTCTCTCCCGCCCCTGATTTATTCTTGTAATAATCTTGTGAAGTAGTTAGACTAGCCTAGAGAGTGGGGCAGGCCTACGAGTCAGTTTGTGGCTGGGTAAGGATCTGTCATACTTTGGACACAACCTAAAAAGGCAAGACTCCCTGGAGGACAAGAAGATAATTCTAGAGAAAGTTGAAGGCAGAAGAAAAAGAAGGAAGACTAAACATGAGATGAATGGACCCCGTCAAGGAAGGCACAGCCTTGCATTTGCAGGAGCTGAGCGAGGCTGTCAAACGCAGGGCATTTTGGGGGCTTTCATTCATAAGATCACCATGAGTCAGACAACTTGATGGCACATAACAAGAAATTGAACCAGGTTCTCCCAGGGTCTAGTTTATTACTGGCTTATATGCCATGCTAGTTCATCATTCCCAACAAACCCCTTCGTAGTTCAGGACAGATCCGTATCACAAAATAAAATGTTCACAGTACCATTTATATCTCACTTGAGTTTTCCATACTTATGGACATTATCCTACAGGTAGGATCCTTACGGAGTAGCAGGGCTTCTTTTTTGGCGCACAAGTTTTACTACCACTTTCGTTCTGTAGCATGCTCTCTTTAAACATTTTCCTTTAGATATTTCTAAAGTTACAGTCCTTTAAAAAAATTTTAACTCTTGAAAGTTAAACTTTTTGTTCTGGCCCTTGAGTAATGGTCAAATAAATGCCAAGTCTTTGTCTTGAAGGATCCCATTTTTCTGCCATTATTGCTGTAGATTTGTTTCTCTCCTTCTGAGGGGAAAATATTTTTATCTGTGGTTTCTAGCTATAAATGCTGCACTTGCCTGCCATTTCCAGTGTCCAAATCCCATATTTTTATACACATGGCCTCTTCACTTAGGAAGACCATAGCTTGTGATCTGGGCAAGCTGTTCCTTGTGTTTGTTGCAAAGGTCATTTCTGATAAACATCTTTTTTGCCAAGAAGGGTGATGATTCTGGTTAAGCACACTTTTTAAAATCATGTTGTTTACCCTTTAGGAGGAGGAAGCAATGGCTTATGAACAAACCTTAGAATTCCGCAGAGGTGGTGACGGCCAACCCCGGCGCTCAACCCGACCCACCCAGCAGTTTTATCAACCCCCGAGAGCTAGGAACTGATCCAAGGTAAATACGGCTAACAGATACGAAACAAGTTGTTGAAGGTATTCTAATGTTTCATCTTACCGATTCCTTCAATTAAGGAAGTATCCTACTTGCTATTTTTTGGAACTTATTTGAGGGTTCTGGACATAATGGTCTAGAAATTTGCACTAATGAAGTTAAACTTTTGTATTTTTTGTATTCTGAGTTTAAAATCCACCTCATTGTTTTTCCTGTCCATCTATTTCCTGATGCTTCTACAAAAGTTTCCTATAAAGCTCTACCTGTAGCCCATGTTTTATTATTTGGTTGATTCTTGAAACAAGAGGTTCTTCACTTCTAGGTACCAAAGCACACTTTATATTAAATTCCTATTGCCCAGTTATTGGGAACTTGCACTTTTCTCTATGGAAAGAGACAGCCTGTATATTTCCCTGTTGGCTGCCGGAAGCATGCTGAACATTTCAAGCATCTTTGCCTGTCTAAAATGCATAGGGTTGCATCCAAAGGAAGGTGCATCTTGGACCCACTCCTTGACCATCTTGTATGAAGGAGGGCAAGACATTTTCCCTTTGTGCTTTGCACTTAACCACTGGGATCACCTGTCTGACCCTTACTGTATTCAGCACACCAGCACCCTCTCAGGAGTGTATTGTTCAGATTCTGGTGAAACCCACCCATCTGTGTTATTCCGGCTTGTCAAGGAGGTATTCCTTTCACTGGGTGGGTGACATTTTGTGGCAGAGTTAGGAGAGGCAACCTCAGTGTCACTCTGGGACTACAACGCTGCCAGTGCTGTCCAAGGAATTTCATTACAGAGGGCTTCTGCACTATTCAGATTTAGTTACGGAACATGGCCACTTCTGACCCTAACACTGAGAAGAAGCCTGATGCAATTGTCCTAATATGCATTTACTCCTTTCCATGCCTACAGGTTACAGTGCCAACCATCCAATTTCCTGGCTTTGTGATGCTTGAGCAACACGAGGGAGCTTTAACTCTGGCCTTTAGCCACCAGGCTTTTTGACTTAAAAGTTAGGGCTAGTTTAACCACTAGTTTAACCACCTAATCCCTTGTGCTCATAATAAATGACAAGACAGTTGATGGTGCTTCCTCCATAAAATAAGGAATGGCCATTAGAAAGTGGAAGGTGTCTTGGCTCCCTTTTTTCTTCTAGGTCCTACTTCTCTCAGTGCTTCCTCATAGGTGCTTACAAGTCCATTCAAAGGGAAAGCCTTACCTTATCAAGAAAAATGGCTTTATCTCATAAAGACAAAGCCATTATTTGAGATTTGCACAATAATTTATTTATTTATTTTATTTAGAAAATTTCTATGCCGCCCCATTCGCCGAAGCCTCGGGGCGGCTCACAAAATAATTAATTGAGAAAGCTCTGTGTACATGCTCATCTCTGTGTACATGCAGACAAACACACACATGGCTATATCTCCATCTAATTCAGAAAAAGTAAAGTTTTTTCCGTGTTTTCTATTAGATACAGATTTTGTTGATTTCCAGTGGAAGATAGACTGCAATGACAAACAGATTTTCTCGTTCTTTTTCTTCCTCTCTTCAGGTATTTCTTGAGGAAAAGCTCTCAGCATTCTCTTCACAATGTCCCACTTTGCCTGAAGGATGGCACTTGACAAAGAAGGCTGATAACAAACAGAATACAGAATACATCCAACAGAGACATTTTTTTAAAGTTAGTTCTATGAAGCTAATCTTTTTACATATGAAAGAAACCATTGTTAATAATGCCATCAATAAAAGCCTCCACGCTCTACTCAGTGCTTGTTTTGTATTTTTTTTTCAACTGGGTTAATGTCCCCCATTTTTCATTTTACACAGTCTGATTGTATAAAATTCTGGTGCCTCAGTGTTTATTTCATATAGTCTGTCCTCTCTGGACTTGAGAAAGCTGAGGACTGGGAAGGACTTGGTTACTGGTTGCTACTGCTTTACCTGTCCAAGCTTGCTTGTTTTGAGCATCTTCAACAGACACTGCATTTTAAAGGGTGCAACAATCTCATAGAAGGAGCTTGCAATCTAAATGTTGACATGGGGAAAGTGGAGGAAGGGCTGTTCTGGGAATGAATTTGTGACAGTGCCCACTATTTGAGCTTAGGGTTGGTTACAGACTCAGTTGCAGTAAGCTGTGAGAACTGGCACTTGGCCATAAAAGTGCCTTTCTTTACCATGCCTAGTTTAGCATGTAACATGGCACTGTAGCTTCAGCAGCAAATCCTCACTCAACATTTTGAGAGAAATCAGAATGAGATTTGTTAAATCCGAGCATGAGACCTGGTGTCCTCCAGGTTGCTTTGGGTGACAGCTTCCAGGATTCCTGGCCACTGGCCATCCTGGCTGGACTGGGGCTGATGGGAGCTGAAATCCAAAACATTTGAGAGGAAGAATACAGGACGGGAGTCTGTACCAAGATACAGTAGAACAGATATTAAAAACCACTGAAAGTTCATATTAAGACCGGTCTTACTCTTCATGATCTCCTTTCAAGAAACACTTCCATCCATTTACCATCTGATAGGGAAGGACCATATATCAGTGGTGGATAACATTTTACATACAAACGGTTCTATGTTCACTCTCCAGAGTTTCCTGGAAGGGCTGAGGAAGATTACTGCCTGGAGTCTTGGAACTGCCAGCCAGTGTAGATAATACTAACCTAGCTGGACCACAGATCAGACTTAATAAGACTGTTTCTTGTGTTTCTTCCAGTTTCAATTATTATTTAAGGATTTTCCCACATTGATCTATATATGATTCTGGCACCCACACTATGATCAAGGTAGCTGCTATTATTATTATTATTATTATTATTATTATTATTATTATGATTATGATTAGAACATTTCTATGCTGCCCCTTGCCGAAGCCTCGGGGCGGCTTACAACACAATAAAATACAAGACAATACAAAAATAACAATATAAAATTAAAATTAATAATATAAAATAAAAAATTTAAACAATATAAAAGAAGTTAGAAAAGTTATAAAAGAAAAGAAAAGAAGTCGCCCTGGCCAGATAAATAAGTAAATATTGTTAACAATTAAAATGACGTTTAAATAAAAAGGTCTTCACCTGGCGCCAAAAAACAAATAATGACGGCACCAGGCGGACCTCTCTGGGGAGCACATTCCATAGATTGGGCGCCACCACAGAGAAGGCCCTCCTCCGAGTACCTACCCTCCTAATTTCTTTCATGGAGAGTTCCCGGAGAAGGGCCTCTCCCACAGATCTCAAGGGGCGGTCGGGCATATATGGATGTAAGCGCTCCTTCAGGTAACCAGGACCCAAGCCGTTTAAGGCTTTATAGGTCATAACCAGCACCTTGAATTGGGCCCGGACTTCAATGGGAAGCCAGTGAAGCTGTCGGAGGACTGGAGTCATGTGAACATAATGCACCGTCCCCGTCAGCAACCTGGCAGCTCTATTTTGAACCAATTGAAGTATCCGGACCGTCTTCAAGGGAAGCCCCACGTAAAGTACGTTACAGAAGTCAAGGCGGGAAGTCACCAGCGCGTGTGTCACCGTCGCCAGGCAGTCGTTCTCCAGGTAGGGGTGCAGCTGATTAATCAGCCGAAGCTGAAGGAAAGCGCTCCTCGCCGCCGCTGTCACCTGAGCTTCCAATGAAAGCTCTGGGTCGAGGAGTACTCCTAAGCTGCGGACCTTGTCCCTAAGAGGGAGTGCAACCCCATTCAGGGCCAGGTCAAATCCACCCTCTCCAAAGCCCGATCCGCCAACCAACAGGACCTCCGTCTTGTCTGGATTGAGCTTCAGTTTATTGGCTCTCATCCAACCCATTACCTCGTCCAAGCACCGGTTCAGCACAGCCACTGCCTCACCTGGATTAGTGGAGAACGAGAGGTAGAGCTGGGTATCATCAGCGTACTGATGATTCTGCAGCCCACACCTCCTGATGACCTCTCCCAGCGGTTTCATGTAGATGTTAAACAGCAAAGGGGACAAAATGGACCCCTGTGGTACTCCATGGCATAGCTGCCATGGTGCAGAGCCATAGTCCCCCAGCACCACCTTCTGGAATCGGCCATTGAGATAGGAGCGGAACCACTGCAAAGCAGTGCCTCCGACCCCCAATCCCGCTAGCCTATCCAGAAGGATACCATGGTCGATGGTATTGAAAGCCGCTGAGAGGTCCAGAAGAACCAACAGGGATGCACTTCCCCTGTCCTTCTCCCTGCACAGGTCATCGTACAGGGTGACCAAGGCAGATTCAGTACCATACCTGGGTCTGAAGCCGGACTGAAATGGGTCCAGACTGTGGGGAAGGCGCTACCCACTGCACCTTCCCCACAGTCTCATTCCCAGTTCTGCCAATGTTTGGAAGTCCAATCATGGGCATCAATCCAATCCCAACAGCACAACCAAGTCACTGGATCCAGGTACATGGCGCAAAATGGACTGGTCTGTGCATCCCACGGTGAAGGACCATTTGCACGGTGAAGGTGCATTGTCACACACACCTGCAATCCAACCGCCAGGACACTTGCCACAGTCATGATAACTTCTTTAAACCATGTGACGTTATTTGCCTTCTGTGTGACTTTGATTTTTACTTGACCACTCAAGCTGGTTTTTGCTGGCATTTAGCAGATACAATTGCTCTACAGTGCATTTATTATATCTTGGCTTTGCTACCAAGTATTATTCTTCCTACACTGACACCATGAGCTGCAATCACTTCAAACCGAATTGCTTTTGACTGCCACAATGTATTTTAGTATTATCCCGCTTTTAGACATTTTTGTTTTCAAAAATCTACTTAAAAAAAAGACTGCTTCACATTTGTACTGTTTTGTGCCTTGATTCTAATAGGGATGGGGGAATATAGCAAATGATGGCATTAAATGACACCTTTTCAATGTTCAAGAGCTGAACCACATTCCACTCAGTTTAACTGAACGCTTTCTAATTACAAGAAGAAACAATCACCTAGAAGCTTTTGTATAATAATTCCCCAGGTTGATGATTTTGTTATCTTAATCTGAAGTTACTGTTATGTTCCTCATGGTCTATACATCACACACATGGTCTGTTCCTGCGTGGATTGAGCTCCATGAGGTTGTATTATGAGTAGGCACGGATAGCATGGCACTGTTAACCATCGTGAAAAATTGTGGAGAAACCCAGTTAGCCAGAAATTAAATTGCAGGATACCATTTATGTGATGGTTGTTTCTAGAAGGAAGAAGTGGGCCAGAAATTAGTTGGCAGAAACTACTCAGAGGAAGCTGGGGGAAAATCAAGAAGCTTGCCATTATGTCTCCGTTGTGACAGTCCCTTCATGCAACCAGGAATCCTGCTGGCATTCTAGCTAAGTCTCCAAATTAGTGTGCTGAGTCATTTGCGGTGCTTCTTACAGCACAGTGGTTCTGCATGCCATCCCGGCTCTTAGAAGTTTCCATGGACATTCTCAGGCAAAGGAGAATTCTCACTGATGATCTGTGCTTTGAGGACTAGACCACAGAGTGCATTAAATACGCAATGCATACCTGATCCTATTTCTTTTAGTGTGTGTGGTGTTTGCCGATGGAGTTTTCCGTTCCTTTTTTCGACCCTGTGCAGTGCAAAGGGGGGATTTAGTGGGGGAACCTGCCTGATGGGAAGGTTTAACTTCCCTTACTGATGTGGCGTGGTCCTGATGTAAGTCAACTCCCGGTCCACTTACACTAAAGTATTAATTCATTGATTCATTCGTGTGTTTATATTGGACTCAGGGTAGCTAAAAAGCACAAAGAAGAGTCAACTGCATGTTAGGTATTTAACATACTATGAGCTTTAGTTTTCAGAGCAGTCTTGCTTAATTACAGCTCCCAGTATCCCTGGCAATCGGCCATGTTGGCTGAAACCGATAGAACAAAAGATCTGTAGTGCACACTGTGAAGGAAAGCTGTCTTAGAGAATTATTTGTTTCTATTGCAGAGGTAGAGGTGACATTTGCATTATTTTGGGAGTGTGCATTTGGTGTGGTACAGAATTCCAGATTTGAAGTCAGGTAAGCACAGTGTCATTCAACTAAAGTTAATTGGTGGAACTCAGAAGAAGGAAACGAATTCTTAGTAACAGTAACTCTTGCTGATGAATCTTGAAGAGATTTGGCAAAACACAGGTTCCTGTGAAACCAAGAAGAACTAAACACTGTTAAACGTCTCAAGTGTAAGCAGAAGATTAAGGAACCAGACAGTCACTAATGTATTTAGCAATTTTGTCCTCCTCCCACCATGTAAGCGTATATTGATTCTTCTGAGCAACAGAATATTTACATAATGTGAAGTGCAGAGATTTAATCAAATGCAATGGTCTTTGACATCCCAATTAGTAAGACAAATGCCACATGCTTTTTGTGTAGGCTGTAGATTTTATTTTTCAAAATGTAATAGAAGTATGTATCCATAATTTTTACAGACTTAAAGTAAATTATGTATGAGCAAAATAAAGGATGTAAGCCAGCAAATCCACCCTATCTACCCCAGACGGAGTGTGCGAGTGCAAGCATTAGGCTGGGAGCAATGGAAGGCCACCCTGAGAAATTCCTGATTTCTCTCTCTCGGGGGAGTTTCACCACCAGAGTCCATGTCTAGCAGCGTTTTGGGGGCTCAGGTGCTGCCGCAGAAAGGAAAGATGTAGCAAACCCTATTCCACCAACAGAACTCTGCTTGTGTCAATGGGAGTTGCCAAAACACCACCTGTGTGAACACTGTCCAGCCTAAGATTTAGCATCCATATAAATCCCTAAAGCCTGCC